TTCAATCTTAATTTTAATTTAAAGTAAAATACACTTTCTATTTAAATAATGAGCGTGTTTCCAACTTACCAATGAGGGTCAATAAAGATAGATGACAGTTCACTGCCATTGTGAAAGTGATAAAAATATTAATGTTTTATATAAACTTAATTCAACATTTGCCCTACACTGGCACAGACGCATGTACGACCGAACTCGCGCGTGTTTCTAGCGCGCTTCGCGTAATAAATGACGGTCAACGTTGAACAACAGAAAGCTGAAACGTGCACGCAAGACCAGCGGTTGCAGACCGCAACGCAAACAGACCTTTGTATATACATATGCGACTTTGCCTATACAACGCACAAAACTCGCACTATGGCAAATTAACAACGAAAATTTTCCCACGAGTGCCACTTGCGACAAAGAATTTTAACAATCTATGGCCTTAAGATGAAACGCATGTGTCAAGAAATTCGAAGGGCAGGCTTTGATAAATTATAATGCATTTCCTTCCTCAGATCATTCCGAAATTTGAATGGGATTGTCAGGAAAATCTACTCAACGATTCAAACAGTAACAAAGCCTATGCCCCTATATTGATTTTATTTTGTTTTACTTATGAAACATGTGTCAAGGAAGTTTTAAATATTATTTTAGAGAATAGCAAAAAACAGGGCAATTTTCAAAATTCACCTTCAAAGAATATTATAGATATAAAAATATTATAGATATAATAAAAACAAAATAATATTATAGATATTTGATCTGAATATAATTATAAAAATATTTGCTTTAAATGTCATAATCGACGGAAAAAATAATAAATATGTATGTAAAATGAAAGCCAAAAATAAAAATGTAAATATCTTTTTTCCAATGGATAAATCGTAACCCGCATTTCTCCATAAGTTTTATCGACCATTTCACAAGTGTGCCCTAAACACGTCATTTCGAATCTTCCCGATCCACTAACGGTGCATCTGGGTATTTTATATCAAGCAACGGTCACCGTTCTCGTCGAGCCCGTCGTAAGCGACGAAGGGCTCGGCGAGTAAATTAACCCACAGACACAGCCCACTGAGTTTCTCGACGGATCTTCTCAGTGATTACGGTTTCCGATCCGATGGTAGATTCTGCAAAGCACTGCTCTTGCTAGGGTTCATGTTAGCAACGTCCATTGGTTAGAGCCCCGCGAGCGCACCTACTCGGCCGGTGAATCTAGTATGACCCCTCGATTTTACTAGAATAGGTAGGAAAAAAAAGTGTTGCGAGCGAGAAAGGCAGGTAAAAATATAAAATCATGTTTAATTTACCAATTTATTTATTTTTAGGTGTCTGCACGTAATTAAATATAATCAATAATTAATGGTTTGGTGACATTAATATTTGACAGGAATGTTTACTGTTCTGAGCATTGAGCCAACGAAAGCCAGGCTTTGTGGCTGTTGCATCACGAAAACGTACTTGAGCACTATGCGATTTCTTCCTAAAATCTTTATTTTGATAATACACATGTAAAAGTGATCGAACTTATTTATTGATTGGCCAATCTTTTTATCCTGATTTGGCTGTGATGTGACGTCATCTGAATATTTCTGTTCTTCAAAATTAAAATTAAATTTACTCAAATGCTACTTTTTTTTCTCTAGACGTAGAGACAGACTCTTTATCTAGCAGTTGCTAAAATTGTATACTCTACTGAATACGCGTGAAGCATCTTAACTACGTACTTTTAGCATTGAATGCATATTGTCAACGTTTTAGGAACCGGACCGTGGGACTATTACTTAATTATACAATAGTTCATGGGATTTTGACAAAATCTAAAAAATGAAATATTGTTAACAGTACTTAGAAGAGTTTACGATTTTAACACCAAGTCCTTTAACCCTTTGACTGCCATATAGGTTACCGGTGGTCTGTTGGCGCATTGAAATAAAATATGTCGATTTCTGTTACTAAAACGCCAGAATATCAAGTAGACGCTGGTTCAGACTAATCCGAAGATACTGAGAATGAAGATATTCCTAAGAGACCTATAAGATATACATTAAAAACAAAAGAAGGCAAAGTCAGGCAATCCAGGCGCTTTCCCAGACGAGAGGACAACGCAAAGCCGACATCGCCCGATGCATGTATTAACGGATCCCCAGATCCACTCTCGGTGCTTTTAAGCTCATCAAGCACCGGCCACCGTCCTCATAGATCACGACGAAGAGTTCAACAAGCGAACTCACCTATAGACACAACACACTGAGTTTCTCACCTGATCTTCACAGTGAGTTGCAATTCCGGTCCGATGGTTGACTCTGCCAAGCACTCCTTTTGTTAGGACTAGTGTTAGTCAATTCCCTCAAGTTGAGCCCGTGAGCTCATGCACCCGTACACGCATAGCTCGAATAGCCCTATAAGCTACCAGCGAATAACTAGGGAAAATAGAACTAAAGCTGTGCTGCCTATTTCAACGATCAAAGAGTCATCCCGATTTTAATGATACGATAACCGTATATTATGAATTACAATTAAAACTTCGACCTCATGTCATAATGTAGATGGTAGCATTTACGCTGTGATTTCTACCAGGAGGAACATAAGGGGTTTTTTTATTGCTTAAATGGGTGGACGAGCTCACAGCCTACCAGGTGTTAAGTGGTTACTGGAGCCCATAGACATTTACAACGTAAACGGCTGCCCTACCCTTCAAGCCGGTCAGCCATGAACTCGTCCATTCACATTTGGATGGGGACGTGTCAGATCAGGAAGCTGAAATAATTGCGATGGATCTAATAAAGTTTCTAAAGGTATTTTGAATATATTTTGACGTGGAACTATTTATTGTACTACTAAGTTTTGAGAGTTTTCGGCTCTGTTTTCTATAAGAATTAATCGTGTTTCTAATGATTACTAGTGTGATTCAGGTTTCCAATCAGTGCAGATACTTTTATCTACAATTCTATTTTATGTTAGATTAAACATTTATCAATTTGACTGTTAAAGCCGCCGATTTCAATGTTAGTTTAGTTGTCATCTTAGAAGAGAAACATTGGTATTTGAAACACGACAGGCGTTTTATTTAATGATAAATTTTTTTAAATGTCATCACATTCGATCCGATATTACTGAACAACCAGTGCATATATCTATATGTTACTATTTTAATATGTAGTATTTTCTCTATATTACTGTACCAGACAACTTGTTTTTTTTCTTCTTATAACTGTGAAACGTGGTACTGTGTGGCTAATATAACTGCATATAATAAGAACTTATTGGTATGGTAACTAAACACTAATTAGCTTTGGATGGCATACGCGTTTGAAAGATCATTAGGGAACACTGGAGCAGATCTTGTACATTAAGCATTCATCTTCACGTACCTGCATATCTAAATCTATGTATGGACAGTTCCCGGCGACAAATATTCCAAATCAAACTTTACAAAGGACATACGGCTAATTTCAGCTTCATAGAGCGCAATCTCTGTCAATCACTGCCTATGTGACGTTTGCCAGTCGTTTACGTACAATAGTGTGTCTTAATATCTACATATATGTCTAAAAATGAATTGCTGTTCGTTAGTCTCGCTAAAACTCGAGAACGGCTGGACCGATTCGGCTAATTTTGGTCTTGAATTATTTGTGGAAGTCCAGAGATGGTTTAAAAGGTAGATAAATATGAAAATGCTCGGAATGAAATAAAAATAACAATTTTGTTTTTCCTTTGATGTGTCCCCCGTCGGACGGATTCCTTTTGTTTGTTTTAAGTTTATTTTATACAAAAGTTTAGGTATTTTATTTATCGATTGAGGCACTGCGAAGTCTGCCAGGTCAGCTAGTCCTTAATAGATATCGAACTGTTGATTTTCTGCGAAGCAGAAAATAACAGATCGTCTCTTTACAAATTTCAATGTGCAATATTTATCCCCGGTTACTCTATTATCTATGACCGTCAATATCATCAGCCTACAGCTGTAGATAATGGGCATCTTCCAATTTTTTTGACTGATCTAAACAGTTAAACCCGCAATCATATGCAGAAGCTGGTCAGGCAGAGGTACACTCTCGAAGTGTGGATCAGAGGAATTTATAAACATGCTCTATTAAATTTATTAATATTTTAAATTCAGAAATATAACAATAACAATAAAACTTAATCATCCTGGGATCCAATCCTGGGATTCTCTTCATCTTGAATATGAAACACCAAGTCGTTTGAAAACTAAGTTCTATCTAGAGCCACTTACTGCTATAAAGCTCTGAATGAACTCCATAGCTCCATAATTTTGTAAATTTTAAAAGCATCCCATATTGATTAGTCGTAATGCCGTAGACAGTTGTTAGTGGTTCTCGTATCCCAAAAAAACTATATGGTTTGCAATTTCCTCTGAACAATACAGGCATGGTTTCGTACAGTTTTGAGTGATATTTGTGTTGTGTGTTTGTGAATATGTGCATGTTAATTTAAAATTTTGTTCAATCGCACCGGTAATTTGTGACTACACATTAGAATAAACAGGTATGTGACCTTGATATTCTAGAACTGTTAATTGTCGTTTATCTGTGGTCTGGGTGTGTAGTATCTATTTAAACTAGCACAATCTCATCTCTTTCCGTGTGTATCGCAAAAAAATATTAAAGGATTCACTTGATAGTGAACAGCAACGTCCGGGTTATTATACCACCACATTGTGACCACCAAACGGCTACCAACAGAGTGAAGCATATTGGGAGCCTGCACGGGTGGGCTCACCATCTTGACTACTTCTATATGCTTCGCATTATACGTTCAGGTAGAGTGGAGAAGATAGCCTTGTACCCAAACAATTAAGACATCAAAGTTATGTCACAAGTTGGGCACTGGCATTCACGTTGTAGTGTCGTCTATTTTCTTCTATGTTAGCGTAACATCAGAGGAGCTCTCGGCCTTTTTACCCTCAGCTTAAAATCCATACTGTTGATTACAAAAGAAGACTACAGATCTTATCTCATAAGCCTTTTAGAGTGAAACATACAATTACAAAGGTTTTATTTATATAATTAATTATAAAAGTCATATTATTAGTATTTACAAGAAAATTTCATCAACAAGCTTTTTATCTATCAGCCTGTGCGGCTTAGGCCGGTTCTGTTTCCTTTTACGACGATACAGTCTTGCATTCAAAGGGTACAGTGCTGGGGAGAGCGCACATCGAACGTTAAACCACCAGTCGCAGGAAGCAACGCCTTGGGAGAACACCGTACCGTTGGGGCAGAGAAACGATGCTTGACGGCCATCGATGTCACAGTAATGCCACGCTGCAATAAGAAAATTTTATGTTAATTAAAAACGCCTCAAAGATACAAACCAAAATTATGGTTCGATAATTTTTCTGCTCTGTAACGTAAGGCGTATGAATAAAATATGCAATAACGATCAAAAGCAACATTAGTTAAACATCTGTGATCTGAAATATATCTTTCACAAACTCTGATATTTAAATAAAGATTTTTGAGACTTTGAATCTTTTTCCAAAAGTGTTATTTTTTCATATCTTGGTTAGGTTTCAGCTGGGATGTCAGAAAGAAACCATCACTTATGAAAAGCCCAGCATGAATTTTTCATAATTTTAATTGTACATAAGTAATGGATTGCTATCTACTTTATAGAAAATAGAGATTTTGGGAACATAAATGAATGTTTAGCGTAAAACAGCTTTTCTATTATTAAATAAATATTTTGTGATCACGAAATCTTCCTCCATTTTGTTGTTATATTTTATTAAATTTTTACATTTATTACATTTAATGCCTCTAGCATTAGTTGTTAATCTTGTTGGCGAATATCATTGTTAATCCAAAATAACCCATATAGAACAGTTTTATTAAAAAATCCATTATGGCGATAGTAGGAAATGAATAGGGGATTATCATGATTAAAAATCTCTTATTTCTAGAAATCTTCCAATAATATTATTAATATCAGAACTTTTAGCTTCTATCTAATTTATAGACGCCTTAATCTTGTATTTATTTTAAAATTCGAGCACAACATTTGAAGTTTTATAGCCAAAATTGTTGTGTCAAATAATAATGGAATAATAATAATCTACTGTTTAATAATTTATTTATAATTTATTTGTAATATTTTAATGACCTGGATTTGTGGATCTGGAATTTGGATTGTAGATCATTGATATAATATTCACTCACATTACGTTCCGTTATTCGCAAAGAAAGCATTTGTTTGAATTAGGGCTTCATATTCACAATCAGAAAACTTGAAATTATTTTTAACGTAACTGACCATCATATTTTGACTATTAAAATTCATCTCTGTTGAAATCTATCTATAACAATAAAATAAACGTAATGTGACTCAGATTATGTATATTATTGTATACAACAGTTATAAACAATAGTATAAAAAGGTACAAATCGTTTATGTATAACATTTAAGCCGGTTTATAATATTTAATCAAAGCAATTTAATGACGGACCTCACGATTCTGATTCAGAGATTTGAAGACGACCATCTTCCGGGCCATTTTTTATTGTAATTACTTAACCGTCATAGCTTCATAAGGTCACACATAAATCACTATAGCACGGCCAAGGTCTTTCGGATTCGAACACAAATATCTTATACAAGTTCCCACGCATTCGTTGCTTCTTCGATTGTTTTTATCGAGTTGGTTCTAGAAGCTAGGCAGACAAATTACGACTAACCATGTTCTGCGATTATTGGCATACAGACGCTGTCGCGTGAATGTCGTTGTCCTCCTTAAAATATAATATTAAGAATATATTACCCATCTTGACATATGAGGCCCAAGTAGAAATTGTATAGTATAATGACTCTCCCACCCTTTTTATGCTGCTTCGCGGCGTAAAAAGTGTGACATCTTTTAAAATAGTCCGCACGCCTAAGAAACAGTAAGCTCCAGAAAACATGCTTAAACCGATATTCATACCTTGACAGCGAGTTTCCATATCAGCGAAAAACCCTGGATATTGCTGCTCATCACAGTAAAAGTTGGTGTACGGAACAGCTCCTAAAATTGGATAATCGGTACCAGGTTTTCCTGAAAAAGAAATGTTCATCGTTCACAATGTAAATGTATGATCATTTTTCTATAGTTTATAATCTGAAAATGAAATATAATACAAGTTTATGTATTAGATAAAAAAATCATAAGTTCAACAAAAGGCAATTCATGGAAAATGTTGCAAAATATTTAAATCTCATCAACCTTTGATCACGATTCGCGCGTTGCTTAATGCTCCTTCCCGGCAGTTACTGAGACTAGGAAAGTTCAACTGCAATGGTCACTTTCACTCTGACTTGGGTTAGTAATAAAACTCGATTTAAATAGAAAATTGATACGATGCCATGATAGTATTTTTCAACAAAACATTTACATTAAAAAACCACTTTTTAAGTCACATAACCCTTTTAAACTTAAATTAAATATTTATTATCAACATGTCTCACGTCTACCTTGAGTTTGCGCAGACTATTGATTAGACACGTATTTAATATATCGATGATTTTCATTTAAAAGATCTCGGTTCCAATAAAACGGATACAAAGTGACATTTATGCTCCACTTATAATGGTGATCCTGTATCTATTTATATTTCAGAATATCAAAATTATGAAGCATATCCCAAACTATAGTAATTCTATTTTTTTTTTTGATTTGTCAACTCTCCATATTATGCTAGTAAGTGATTATTTTTCAATTTACAGACTTACGTTAGATATTTTATAGATCCTAGGTCTTATCTATAAATGATAGTAAAATCTAACAGCTTATTGTCGTTTACCAATAGTAGCTACCTGGTGTGGCAACACAATCAATAGCTGCGTGCAATCGTAACCTTTAACCCTCATGAATCCGATGCATCTACCTAGATACATCTACGTACTAACAAAACACCAACGGGTACATTGTGACTGGCTTTCCTCTTATTTCTTAAGATTTAAAACTTTATAAAACTACTAGCTGACCCGGCAAATGTTGTTTTGCCATATATAAGATTTCTAGGGAATTTCTAGTGGAGAATAAAAAACCCTCATTATAACAAAAAAAAATATATCCAAAAAATAAAAATGTTTGGGGTGGACCACCCTTAACATTTAAGGGGATAAAAAATAGATGTTGTCCGATTCTCCACCCTGACCGAAATGCACGCTAAGATTCACGAAAATCGGTCGAGCCGTTTCGGAGGAGTTCAACGTGACACGAGAATTTTATATTGTTAGATAATCACCACAATGAATACGAGTGTTCACGCTCACAGTTTCGAATTTCGTATGTGTAAAAGTTACTAATTATATTAGAAGAATTTGTCGTGTGTGGAAGTTATAAATTATTTGGTCAGAGTTTAACGACGACCACAAGAAATAAGATAAAATTCAGAATTTCGTTAACAACAATTTTAAAGATATATTTTACTACAAAATACAAGCTCCAAAAATAGGCATTCAAATCGTTGGTCTACCGAAATGTGACATCCACCTTTCCAAACAATAATATTAAGGGAAAACAATACCGATCACTACCACCTCCAGTATCTGTATCTACGAGTATAATAATAATAGACACGGACAAGTAACACACGTCATCTAGCCCCAAACTAGGATACTAGGATTATCTGGACTATAGGAACCAGAAATTGATATATAAGTGTATATATACGTTTAAATGGATACATATATTGAACACCAAAAGACAGAGAAAACAAACCTATTCATCACCGGAATGCTTGCCGATGGAATCGAAACCACGAACCTCGACCCTGCAATCAGGGGCACTAATTGCTGCATCACCAAATCATTCGATGGTGCAGTAAGTACTGGCCTTATGGGCTGGATTAACCACTTAACACAACTAAAGACTGTGAATTCGTTCGTCTACACGTATCATCACTACACAGTATCATTCCGATAGAGGCACCCGTCACGTGCGGACGTGCTCATCGACCACTCGATCGCCCGGTCTTTGTTCGCCCGGCTTTTGTTAGCCCGGCCATTGTTCGCGCGGCCTGTGTTCGTGATACATCTGCCGACTAAGTGCTCTTCCTGGAATTTTTTATTTGTTTTGTTTCCTTTTGTTGTTTCTGTGTTCGTGGTACATCTGCCGACAAACTGTTTTGCTGGATGTGGTTAATTGTTCTGTTTCTTTTTGTTATATCCGTTTTGTTGTGTTTTTTCTTTGTCCTGTAGTAATCGTGCCGCATCGCCACCTGTGTTCAATAGAACCGCTCAGGTCCGAGAAGTTGGGGCCTCGCCGCAAGGCGAGTGCTTTCAAGACCCGGGGCCGCCCCACCTGGGCACTCAGCGATCATGGACGCTGTATTCGCGGAATTCCTCCGACTTCGCCACCCACAGCTCGCCTCAGAGTTTCTGGCCTTCAAGGCCGATCACATCGCGAGCCCTCTCGTGGACTCCGCCGAGCTCGCTGCGCCTGCGTCGCCTGTACCTGCGTGCAAAGCTTCTGCATCGAGCACCGCAGCCTCCATCGTGCCTGCCGTTCCCGCGTCGCCTATACTGGCGAGTAAAACTGCTGCGTCGTCCGCCGTGGCCACCGTTCCAGCAGCGCGATCATCCGCAGCCTCCGTCGTGCCCTCCAAAACACCTGCTCGTAGGTCACCAGCGCACGCCTCCTCGTCCTCCGACTCTGACTCGGAGATGGAGGTCGACCTCGCTCCCGCCTCATCGACGGATGGATTCACCCTGGTACAAAAGGGTAAGAAGCGTGCCGCGGAGTCTCGAGCTCCCGCGGCCGCTAAAATTAGCAAAGCCGCGAACGCGTCGCGCCCCCGCCCTCAGACTCCCGTTGCGCCTCCAGCCCATGCCACTCCGTCGCCGCGTCCGGTGGCACAAAATAAAACCCAGACCCCTCCCCCGGTAATCCTCCAAGAGAAGGCAGCTTGGGATCGAGTTTCCCTGGCCCTTAAGGCCAAAAATATCAACTTCACGAATGCCCGTAACCTCGCGAATGGCATTCAAATTAAGGTTCGAACACCCGACGACCATAGGGCCCTCTCTTCTTACCTCCGTAAGGAGCGTATAAGTTTCCACACGTATACGCTCCAGGA